AAAAGAGGAATGAAACACAGCCTATAAAACACTATACTGGACAAAGAAGTGAAGAAGAGTGCGCGCAAAGACAAAAGATACTTCTACGGCACACTGGCAAGCGAAGCAGAACAGGCTGCAGGTAGGAGAGACAGAAATCTGACAACACTGTATAAAATGACCAGGTTACTATCAGGGAAGAGACCAACACAGATGAAACCAATGAAATATAGTGAAGGAAACCTAGTTACCAAAGAGAGACTAGAAACAAAGGAAACGATGGGCCGACCACTTCAACATACTCCTAATCGACTACCACAACCACCTGCATCTCGTCCAGGAATACCATCAGCGTCCTAGCCACAGAATTACCGGTGAACACAAGCCCTCCAACAAAAGCAGAAGTAAAGTCCTGAACGTCATAAAGTTACTGAAATCCGGGAATGCAGCGGGACTAGATGGGACTTATCCAAAGGCACTGAAAACAGACGAAGAGACAACAGTGGACATGCCCACATCATTATTGCAGAATGCCTGGAATGAAGGAAAGATACCTGCTGACTGATTGCAAGAAGAGCTACCTCATCAAACTTCCAAAGATGGAAGGGAGACCTTAGCCTTTGCAAGAACTGCTGAGCAATCATGCTACTGTCCGCCCCAAGCAGAATATTATATCGTATCATCCTGGAGAAACGAAAGCTTGCTCTGGATTCCAAATTACCACTGGAGTAGGCTCGCTGACTGACTCCAGGAAAAACAAATCATGTGCGTATCAAATTGCGACGCTACGCTACGCATCATCATATAACAGAGCGTAGATTGCCTCAACTTCATCGACTTTGGAAAGGTCTTCGACTGCGTCGACCGAGAAGTAATTTTGCAACCAAGTCAACACTACGGTTTTAGTGCCACAAACCTTTACCAACCTCATTCAACAGCAGCTATAAGCTATATGATTCGACATGACAAGTGATTCACGATGGAAAGCTCAGATATGCTGTTGAAATGAAGACAGGAGTAAGATAAGGTTGCCGCCTACTATCACCGGTTATCTTGCTGATTTTGGTCAACTGGACTGGATCAAGCAGCAAACTGTGAGGGGCAAGACGAGGGGCATACACTGTTAGACCGATGAGAAGAGTCTAGAACATTTGTAATTCACCGATGTTGGTTTATGTCTAATGTTGCACGGGCTTGAAGACCTACAGGCGAAATCTAACAAGTTGACATAAGAGGCAGCGAAGGGAGACAGGACTTCAAGTGAACGTAGAGAAGACAGAGGTGATGATGATAACCAACCAACCAACAACAACAAGCACCAATCACCTACCTACTTACCTACGTAAGTACGTACGTGCCTACCTACCTACTTACCTGCCTACCTAGGCAGCATCGTTTCAGGCGGCACAGGCATAGATGAAGATGTCAAAGCTACGATCAGAAAAACAGGAAGACGGGCCTTCATTAACCTGAAATCAGGGTGGAGATCTACTTCACTTCACTCAGCATACAGAACAAGATTCGAATTTTCAACCTTCTTGCCAGTCAAGTCAGTGCTTCTATGTAATGGTTCAGAAACTTGGCGCATCACGAAAGCATTTCCAACAAAGTACAGACACTCATCACGTAAACAGCTGCCGCCGACACTCAGTTTATACTGAAGATCAGATGGCCAGAATAATAAGAATGAGCGGCGAGGAAGTCTGGCTGACTTACTGGCAACGAATCAACCAAGAACTTTCAGATAATATTAACTGTACTCAGAAAAAATATTTTTGATAATCACAATACATGCCTAACACCAAACAACGCGAATAAATAGGCTTCGAGGTCAGCATGCTAACCCAGTCCAAAAGTCTTGATTAGTACATTTTTACTGAGTAGAATGTATCTTGAGGCAGTTGTGGAGATTTGGAAATATTTCAAGTTCTTATTCATCGTAGGCCGGATCCCAGTGGTAATAATACTCACTGGGAAGCAGATACATCCAGCTGACGAGTCCCAAATAGGATAGAACGCGCAAAATTGGTTCTACTGCTTGCCACTATCCGTCATTACTATCATAAGAGCACAGGTAGTATCGAGGCATCCGCACAGGATTCCTTATGCCCATAGAGACCGATCAGTTTGGTTCTGTCAACTATGGTATGAAATTTTAAAAAATAATCGTGAGGTAACAGAAGTTGAAAATGTGGACGACTGGATTCTAACCCAGCAGCTCGATGGTAACGTTCTGGCCACGGAACATGAGGGTCGCGGGTTCGATCTCTGGTGAGATCGTGGGTGCACACTGCTAGGGCGTACCATACTAAGACGAAACAGCTGTCCAGTGCTCCCAGGTTTCCTTTGTTTCTCCAACTGATGTCAGTCTACGAAGAATAACAACTTGAAGTAGTCTATATTTGTTTGTCATTACAGATTTACGAAGCGTAATCCAATGAAGCAGAACAGATTGTTTATTAAAAACTCAAATTGATTCTCATAAAAATATCAGAACTTATCATTAAGCTACATTGGAAAATACTCTGCTTTTCGGTATTTCACTTTGAAGTGTTCCTTCAAAGTATAAGAATTTTAGATACTTCACTTTTTCCGCTTCAGGACACATAACAGATGGTCGTTATAAATTCACATGTTCCCAATAGGTACTTCTGACTGACAGTTATACAAGTAATGTTAACCATATGTTTTTATTCTTTTGGTTCGCTAGCAAATTTGTTATGTCCAATCCTAAATGGTAACCACTGAACTTGTTCACTTTATAAAATCTTATGATTTCTTTTGTTTTTAAAATAAACTTACGAAAATATTGAGCACTTACTATTTGTTTAAACTGGTAGAATTTCATTTATGACTCTCCAAAAATTGAATTTTAGGTTCTCAAATATTAAAAAAATACTTCACTTATTGATAACGTGAAAAACTATTTACATTCAGTAATTATAAGGATATAAAGCTAGAATTAATCTATTTATAAACCTTTAATTTTTAATACCTACAGTTTGGCTTTTTGAAATGTATATGCGATAGGTGTTGTTGTACTTTTAAATCATTGATACAGTCATGTGCATATCAGGTAGCACCTACTAAAATAATCAATCATTTTTGTATTAAAACCAAGATTTTCATCGGTTAAAGTTAATGACAGTGAAAGGCATAATAGATTCTTTTGATAAAAATAGATCAAAACAATGTTTTTTTTCAATGCAATATAATTTAAATGGTTGCGACATTTTACACAATTATTTCTCGGTTAACTTCATTATCGACCAATTGATGTACTTCAAACTAAATGAATATTTTTCACTTCATGAAAAGAATATTGGTACTGTGACAGTGCATAATTAAATGTTAGACTGTTAATTTAATATTTCAAATAGTAGGAAACTATTATTTACTGGATCACATTTTGAATAGAATTTATGATTCATATTCAGTGTCTCCTTTTACTACATGAATAGTTTGAACCATAGTCTTTAAAAATTTGGTGAAAGTAATCATCATAAATATTTGAAATGACATTTATTTCTTGTTTAAATCTAATACATCCATAGAGTATTTTTTTTTAGCACTGAAGGAATTGATATCGCTTCAGAGAATCAAAGTGATGAAACCCTGTAATTAAGTCATAGTTATTATCAAGTACTTTTTTAAGGCTTCATTCACTCTTCTATGTGTAGGCATTAAATACTCTATTCTGTTACTGTTTTAGGGAAGATTAGGCTTAGCCTGTATTACATCAAATTTGATCATTGACATTAAACAAAATATTCTGAAGATTGAATCAGAAAATCTTTTCTTATTCTTATGATAGGTTTGATAGTTGTTTCCAATGTAGTTATCTTGATTCGAATGTTAATTAAAACTGCTAGTCGTATGAAACTACACAGACGTTTAAATCATTCCAAAAATATGGTCGTTATGAAACAGTGAAACTTAGTTCTAAGGATTTCCATTTTATTCAAGAATAACATCCAACCACTGAAGAAGTTTCCTTTACTTCTAATGTTCAGAAACTACACTGAACGTCGACGATGTGAATCCTTAATTTTAACTTAATGGTTGATAATAACCTTATTCCAAATAAATACGTTACTATAAGGAATGAAGAGAAGTGATATCTTATAAGAGGCGAATTCCAATGAGTATCTCAAAGACTCATAATGAATTTCTCTTCAAATCAATCATTTCTTTGAAACTCATTTGTGCTTATTCTCAAATTCATACAAGAACAGTTTACTTTAATGTCGATATGTTTAGGTGAGGGATTGTAACCTGGTTATGTATATGGATCCTTGAAAAATAATCTTCGACTAAGGCTTTTGATGATCACTTATTTCCTCAGAAAATAGAAAATAGAGAGAAGTATAACAATGTCGTATTTAAACGTACATACTTAAAATGGCTTTGACTATTTTCAGGTCTTTCCAGAAAGACGTTGCTTATTGATTTCACCTCTTCTACCAGTCTGATATTTACATCTGAGGTAATGTGCTGTGTGTCAAAATTTTCAAGCAAAATGAATGGTTGTGAATGGCTTTAGAGATTTATGACTTCTTACAAAGATTTGAGTATCCTCATTGCAAATCAAACCACTCAGTATCCTTAACTGAACTGAGATATAATTGATCCTAAAGTATACTGGGAGCCTTAGTGCAACCAATGGAAGTTTTAACTCAGCTTTTCCCAACTCTTAAATATAATCGTTACATTTTTTATCTGTCAATAAGATATGAGTGCTCAAAACATATTGCGTTAGTAGGAGTAAAAGGATCAAGTCTGAATAGGACCTCTAACCCATCAGAATATACTTAGGTAAGAATCGTTAATCGATTAACTGCAGTGAAATTCGTATATTTTTCAACGACAATTTTCCTTGAAATTAAATCATAGTGAATAACTTATTATCTCATGTAACCTAATATTATTCTAACACTTCCTTTACTTTTGTCATTTCAGTTCCCAAACTTTGGTTAATCACGTTGCATATTCGAAATTCAGTAACTGAATGATGTCGAAATATGACGGCAACAGCTGGAGTGGCAGTACCATTGTCTGCTGAACTACCATTAACACTAGCAATCAATGAAATGAGCCAACCGTTTACAACAACCTCGGCAAATCCTATGTCAGCTGTTGCAACAAAATGTGAACCAATTGAATCACTGGAAACATTCGGACGTGTTTATGGAGACATGCATGGATATATTACACTTGTACTATGCCCTATCTGTGTGCTATCAAATATTTGCATTGTCATTATCCTTAATCAACGTAGCATTGTTTCACCAACGAACTTCCTCTTGACATCGCTGGCGATAAGTGATGGCCTTCTGATGATATTGTACATACCATTTGCTAGTTACTTTCTGATCGGCCGTCATACTCGCAATTCAAGTTATAGTTGGGCTGTTTACCTACTCTTTCATATTAGCTTACAGAATTTCCTACACTTAAGCTCAAGTTACATTGTTGTTGTCATAGCTGTGTTCCGTATTCTCTATGTAAGATTCTTGGTAAAGTGTCAAATTCTATGCAGTATGCAAAGAGCTAGGCTTTCTGTCACATTGGTACTCATCATTAGTAGTGTATTGTCCATTCCATGTGTTATAAATCATCATATTGTACGTAATAGTAACGAAGATGAAGCATATGGTTACATGGTTACCTATTTAGATAATGAAATGATGTTAAATTATCTATACTGGAACACAGCAATATTCTTAAAGCTTCTTCCTTTAATATGCTTAAGCGTACTCAGTTTTATGTTAATATTTACCATACGAAAACAAAATTCACGTATGCGTAAATTGAAGACACAATCAAAAGTTTCTAGACTTGCTTCTATTGCAACACCCTGCTCATCAACTGTATCAACTACTATTACAAATTCAACACCACTGGTGCGTATAGAAAATCACCTAGATAATATTAGTAATAAAAATCACAATATGAATCATGATGGCAACACAACAACGACGATGAAGCATACTGATATGAAGATATCACCGTCATCATCATCAATAACGACAGCAAAGCCAAGAATAAATAATGTTGTTGCACGGCGGAAACGTAATGCCTTTGAAAATGAACGTGATAAAGTAGAGAATCGAATGACAAGATTCTTGTTAACAATTGTCTGTATATTCATGATCACTTTACTTCCTCAGGTTAGTTGTTTCATCATTTTAATCTGTATAAACTGAAAAAAATTGAGTTTGTTTTTCACTGACTAACAGTGTATTTTCAAGTGAACAATTTCATGAAAAATAATTGAATCCATAAGTTAGGATGAAAAACAAATGCTGTGATGGTTTCTTTTGGCAGTCTAATGCCGTAATCATTAATTATCACAGCAAACTTCTCAGGAATTGTAGAAGTGTATACAATTGTATGCAGTAAAATGGTCTATGGAATCCGATTACCACTTATGACTGACTATAAAACATTAAGCTGGTTATCCTTCAGTGACTAACCAATATAATTATTCCCGTTCTACAGGAGGCCGACTGAATAGTTCAGTGATAACGTCTGCTACTAACACTGGGTAACATGAGTTTAAATCTCTAACCAGACATCAGTCCCACGACGGCTACAGATAAGCTTTTCTGTCGAGTGCAGAAACCTAGGTTCAAGGTTCCTTGCCGATTGCCTCCATCCTACTTCCTTCTAAAAAAGTTATGAATTTTCGTTTCTAATTTGTTCAAACAAACACTGGTTAGATTTTTTGCACTTAAATAATAGGTGTGAACTAACAGTTTGCATTTTATCCTTCAGTGGGTCGAAATTACCCTTTATTTACTTTATTGAAATAATGCACGTTTCAGACTTTGCTTAGTTTGCTTGGGTGCATAGTTGTGTGTCATAACTGCATTTTAGGTTTATGGTTGCATGTAAATACTAAGAAAGGTAATTATAAATATTTATGCTGTAGTGGTTTTGACGGAAAAGCTAACGATGACACCCTCTGGTCTCCGGCTGATTAGCTGGAGTTAGGCAGTTTAATTTACAACTCCATCGAATTTAATTTCAATGATTACCACTTGGGGTTTTTATTCCTTTAGTTTATCATTAGTAACATCATCAGAAACCAAGAAAGGTGAAATGAAATAACACACTACTGAAAAATAGTGACTTAACAGATAACTGTACATTTCAAATACTGCTAAGTAATTGAAAGATACTACATTGTACCCAAGTAATAAAATGTGTGAACAAGCTTTACGGTTGAATACCATCTGACATTTGAAAACGCGGAAACCAGTAGTTTGAGAAGTGAAATGAATTTGAATACTCATAGACGGCGTTTTGTTACACTTTACAAAAGTTCGCATCATACTGAACAGACGGTAATTAGCGACGATTGACAAGCTAAAAGTTAATGAGTAAGGTGATCACACTTAATATCACTTTCAAAGGAATCAATTACCTGCCAAAATTTTAAAAAAATCATTTCACCGTTAGTGAAAATCAGCAAAGTAAACATAAATCGAAGAGATATAACACTAAGTTAATCCAATTAACAGAGAAGGACTTCCAAAAGCATAGAACCAGGCGGAAGATAGTATGATGAACAAATGAAGGTATAAGGGTTAAACATTTTCTGATAAAGAATCAAATCATCAAGTATGTGTATATGTAAAATATTCAAGGAACTATTTAGCTGGACAGAGAAGAGATGAGACGTGATTTATTGATCTGTTTTACCAAAAATATGCAATACATACGTTCTTTAGGTACATGACTCATCCTCATAGTGTGTTAAACAGTTTGTCTCTCGCTAAGTCACTCACCTCACTACTTGCAAAACTAACAACAAGATAAAGTAGGTGATACTTCTAAATTCTGAATAAAAATATAATATGATAAACTGTTGCAGTAAAATTACAAGAATCAACCAGGAATATATTGCTACTCATTTTTTCAAGTTATCGACGGTTAGTAAACGTAATTTGCTATGATAAAAGACCGATCAATTTATGCTGAACTCTATTTGTTGTTTGTCACATCCCCAAACTGTAATGGAAAAGAAGAGAAAATGGGCTAAGAGAAGAATACAGTAGCTGTATTACTTACAAGTATGCTGAAAAAAATGCCGACTAATTTGAACGGTTTTTAGTAAAGTCTGTCAAAAAATAAAAAGCCTTACTGCCTAATTACAGTACAAATGTATCCAAGAATTGAGTTTGAACAAAAAGCTTTTGCGAAGAACCTTTCAAAGGCATGAAGTATGTTAGCAAAAAGAGAAATTCTGTCTAGATAAATCTTAATGCAACATCAAAAGAAACAGTTTCCTGAATAATCGGAATTTTTAGTAATGCTATCACAAAGTTATTACAGATCCAAGGGAATATTTATCTACTTATGTTTGAAAGCATTTTCATTTCTCCTGGCTTTTAGTGTTTCAGTTCATTCAAAAATTAAAGATGGCATATTTTCATTAAAAAAGGGGTTCCATTTTCAAGTGTTACATGTTTTATAAACATATTTCGTATAATTTATTTGCATTTTTAAAGAAATATTGTTGTATGTTTGAAAGTTTTATTCAAACTGGTAATAAAAGTTATCAACACACCACTTAGAAATTTGCTGAATTCTATTCGATGCATAAATATCCCATACTAGATAAATGATTCCATCAGCTTTGTCATTCATCTATTCACTTATAGTCAAAATCAGTAGTTATCGATCAGTCATAAAAGTAATCAAGATGACTCATATAACTAAGATTATTTCGAACTTATTTTTCGTTTCAAACAGTCAATGATTTGTTTCTACTTCACACAGACTGTGTAGATCTTTCTTGGTTTGATTTTGAACATGGAACCACTTTGTCCCAACTTGCCAGTATTTTGCCTAGAAGAATGAACACATAATGCATTTGTCTGATGATTATGTCCGTCAAGTCTACTGAATACATGTCGTTAAGTATTCAGAATTCAGATAAGGTAAAGTTAAGTAGCCTGATATAAACACGGTTAAACAACTGTCTCAATGGGTGGAATAAGTTTGGCTAAATGATGACGAAAAATCTTAACCTCTACCATTTTCTTATCCTTATTTTTGTGTATGAATAATGATGAATACCTTTGACATCTCGTCCTTAGATAATGTCATCTAGGAGGATGCTGCTTTCCAAACTGTCACCAAATGAATCATAGCCTGCCTTTATCGTTATTAAACGTCGCAAAGAAAAATCGTGACCACTCTTATTACGAAGAAACACAATTTTTTTTAAACCGTCACTGGTTTCTTTCTTACATCTTAATAAGTCAGTTGAATACATGAGAGAAATGACAATTTATAAGTGTGAAAACTCTGTTATAACCAATAAAACATGAAGTTCCACTATGATGTAACATGAATGTGCATGGTGTTTGATAGTATTCTCAGTAGTAAACTGGCTCGTTACAGACTTTAAAAAATAGATTATTGGAAAAAGGTACACCTAAACTAAGGAAACATTATTTACGGTCAAGAGAACGTCAAAGATACTTAGTCATTATTAGTCATTAAATAAACAGGTCATGTGAGGTAAACCAAAATGCTAGTTGAGTAACATTCATAAACTTGAAACATCAACGTAACATGAACATAATGTTAAGTAATGAGAGTTTATTATCAAGATGAACTTGATGAAAGGAAAAAGTATCCTTATACATGACAAAAAGGTATTCAACTTCTTTATGGGTAAGGTAAATCATATAACAAGAAATTTAATCTTTCTTAAAAACTTAAACTAATCATTGGACGATTAAGATTTAGTTTTACATGCTATTGTCAATTTAGATGGATTATTAGGGCAGTAGGAAAGTCAACAAGTTTCAACAAGGTTTCAGACTGTGAAATGACAAGTTTCTTGTAGAAACAGTAACTTGAGACTACAGAGAATATGCTATCATTCTAACTTATTTCTCACACTTCTGTCCATCGTGAAATAACCAGTGAATACATTTACTGGCTTAACTTATGCACTTGATGAAGTAGTTAGGTACAACTAGATTTTTACTGTAGATGTTTGCAATTATGGAGTAGATGGAACAGGTTCAAAGTTTATATCCGTTTTCATGGCAGTTAACGATCATGAAGATATTTGGATTTAGTTACTTTGATGGATTTATAGCATTCTGCGGAATTTGTTGTTCATGCTTTGTTAAAACTGTGTGAAAACTAAGAACACATGTAGTCGAATTACTGGTTATGAATCTGGACAATAAATTATATCGAGAACGTTATCCAGTAATTAATAAACAGACTAATATGAAATTACAGTCAACCACATTAAGTCTTATTCATATATTGCCAAAAAAATGTTTTTAGATGATATTACCAATAGTAAATCTTTAGCAGAATATAGATAAAGATATGGTGGCGCTTTTCTTACTGCACTTAAGTAGGTAATTCCGACTTGTTGTACATACACATTTAATAGTGGTGTATTCTTAGTTCAACTACATTTCACCTGTAGGAGTAACTGGATTGCTACCTAAAACTAGGCTTATAAACACTTTATTGGATCACTACAATGTAGTACAGTTAAGATACCTTTTCGTAAATAGACAGCCGGTTAACGCCTTTCGAATCTCTCCCTCTCTCTTTATATATATATATATATATATATATATATATATATATATATATATATATATATATATATTGCAGAACAAGTGAATAAAGTGAATTTATTTCGATATATATGACAAGTCTGAAGCAGAATCATACCCTCTAGATGCAGATAAATTGCTAAACGTTGCCATACTTTACCCACATGTATCCAAAAGAGAACAAAGGTATCTTTTGCTTTGTATTGTATTCATCAGAAATATATATATATGCATATATAGAAGTTTGCGAATAGATAATCGTGTATTCAGTCTTGAACACTTCTGTCACTGAAATTAAATCAAATTTTAGTTTGAAGAACAAAAGGTTAAAAACATTTTTCAGGTGAAAATATTCATTTCATCTTTTTATGGGCAAGTATGGAAGCCAGTTTCTGTAGTTGAACACTTTTTCCAAGCATTTCTGCTATAAATAAGTTAAAATTTAGATCCCATCGAAGTTCATTTGGTACATGCTTCAGGAATCCAGGCTGCTACTCCCATTAATCGTTGACAAAGCCTTTTATGTAGTGAAGTCAAAAATGTGAACGTATTAGAAACACTGGACA